ACAACCACAAGATCTATCAAAAGGCACAGCTGGCCTTGACACATGTCAAGGCTCTTTGTGACCAGCTAGAGCGTCTCACAACCGAGTTCACAACCATAGAAAGTCAGCCAGAGACAGAGGATGCAGGACCGCCACAGGTGGAGGCACCGACAACGCCACAACGCCCAAGCAGGACGACGTCGGCCCCTAAACGCAAGTTGAACAAGTCGCGTGCAAGGTCCGATTCAATCTCCGACGAATCTATACTCAATCCCTCACCTCAGCCAAAGCAAAAAAGAAAGAAATCCTTCAAATCAATGTAGTACTTTTAGCGGGCTACTAGACATATATTATTGTTTTATTATTGATAGACTATCTATCTACGATGAAGCTACAATGTAGCTAGCGGCGCGTCGACGTTCTCGCTCTCCCAAGTCGCGCGAGACGCGTGGCGGACGAGTGAGCCAACGGGGCGGTTCCGTCCGAATCAGGCAATCGCTTGGGTGCGCCGCTTGTCCCACATCCTGGCCTACCTAGCATCTTCTTTCCCCTCACTCACTGCCCTGTGACCTTCAGTTCAACAATCTGTGAATCGACGATGTCCTCCTTGACTTTCTCTTTCGGAGCATTCGGCGATATCCCGGCTTTAGCCCAAGTTGCATACTCATTGATCACTACCTGCTATCGTGCCTTCAACTCAGCCGACCAGTATCGCTCTCTCAAAACTGAAGTTGATAGCCTGTCGTGCATCATCGACTGCGCGCACACTAACATCTCTTCGGACGATGACGTGCACATGAGCCCTGCGACAAAATACGCTATTCACGTCGCCTTCTCGAGGTCGCGAGAGTCGCTGGAGAAGATGGGAAGATTGCTGAAGGGTTATGAAGGATGTGTAGGGTATGGCCGCAGAAGGAATTTTTGGAGGGACTGTGTTTGGAGGGTGATGTGACCTGTGTGTGGGGTGATGACGAAGGTGGAAGGGTTGAGGAAGGAGGTATTGGCGAGGATGGTGGAAGTGAATTTTATGTCGTCGTCAGCGAGGTATGTTCTCCCTCGAAAGAGGTTTTATTCCAACCGCCTCTCATTATCTCTGTTTTGCAGAGTAAATGAAGTGAATGAGAAGAAGATGGAACCTTCTTCCGTCGACAAAATGTACAGTACATCGACGTCGCCGAGATATGGCAAAAGAACTGAGGCCAATAGCCTTTCTTTGGAAACAGGTAAAGCTATTGGAAGCATGGTATGAGCCTTTACTTATCTCTATCATTTCAGGTTCAGACAACCTGTCTTCCACGCCGAAACTTAACCCGGACGCTGCGCAGCCAACCAATCTCTCCACCCCCTTCCAAGCACTCGGAGCAGGGAGCGACTCCAGAGACAGGCCGTCTCATGCTCTCACCGCTTCCACGAGCACAGTGGAGGAACTTTCTCCACCGGAAGAGGCCCTGACCATCGCGTCCTCAGAGATGAAAGCCTTCGGAGCATCTCGAACCAATACGAACGCAGCCGATAGCAACACACCATCTGTCTATCGTGGCACAAGGCTTCAAGTCGACTCTTTGGCCGACGCCACTCAGTTCACAGCTTCCAGCGACTCGACAAGCTGTCAGTCCGATTCATCCACCGACATCGAAGCTCAGCTTTACCATTCAACCACACCACCACTTCCCAGCAAATTTTCCGTAAAATGTCCTCCATCTTTGCCAAGGTCGTGCTTCTTTCGAAACAAGCCTGCCACTCTTTTCGACGTCGTAATGGTTTCGTCCCATCATCTGCGGTCGTCTGCGTTCCCTCTCATCATGGCTTCTCCTAGAGTGGATGGAAAGCGTCCTTATATTGGACCATCGACTCTGAGTTACGCACAGAGAGGTGTGGACGTGGCGAGGTTTTGAGCACCTAGGGTCTGGTAATAGTTATCGTGGTCGTTATGATTCAGAGACCGCCGATATGAAGTTGTTGGATAGTGTAGCTATGCTTTCAGTACTCTCAGCTTTTCTTTGATGGCTCAGTAACGTAACCTCGAATCTTCAAGGGTGGTTCATCCTCCATTTTCCGTCCTGAATGTCCTAAGTCGGTTTCAACGGGATGTGGCGTTCAGCGGCCACACTCTACAACTTGTTAGCGGGACTTGCCGGAGGCCCTTCTTCGATGACGACCGCCTTGCGACCGCCTCTCTTTTTCTCTTGAACCCATATCGTCCAACGACTCCGAACTGCTTTCGAAGTTGTAGCCCAAGTCAATACATGGAAAGTGAGGCTGCGTGACCTCGCTTTTAGGCACATTCAAGCTCAGGTGGGAGCTTCCAAGCTCGTTGAACCTTGTGCCTCTTCCAACGTCGTCTTCTCTGTGGATATCGAGGGCCCGGGAAGCTCATATGAAGGTCTCCCCGTCCGATTTTCAGGATTTGGCCCTAAAATATCTACTTTTTCGGCCGTATTTGGCCCCTACGAGCGCCAAGTATGCCTCCAAGGTTCTGCCAGTGCAGAAAACACTTAATTTGGGGGTTCTGCTTCGTTTCAATGAGAAAGTCAAGAATTCTCATGGGCAGTTCTCGAGATCGACCTTCCGAAATCCACCCCTCAAATATCCACTTCACAGGGAGACCCATACGAGCTTCCCGGGGCCTGGATATCGACGTGCTGAGAACCTCTCAGTATGGTCGTGAACTTTCTGGAAATTTTACCCTTGGCTGTGATGCTGTAATCACCAGACAGCCACCCATGTTATTGTCAACAATATTTCGAACTCCTGCGACGATCGAATGGACGTACAGGCTGTGTACACGATCGGCTATGCAGTCGCTACGCTTTGATTCTCGCTGATATATATTCTTTGCACATCTTGAAAGCCCTTCCTTTCTAGCGCCCACATCTCCTTTGCCAGTACTGTCTCAGTCTGTGATCTCACGATGTCTTCCCTATCTTTTTCCTTCGGGGCATTCGGCGACATTCTGGCTCTAGCCCAAATCACAACGACGCTCTTCAGCACCTGCTATCGTTCTATCAACTCCGCCGAAGAGTATCGATCTCTAAAGCGTGAGGTCGACAGTCTATCGTACATCATCGACTGTGCTCGTACGAACATCCATCTACACCTACACGACGATGACCGATTATGTCCGGCTACGAGACACGCCGTCCATAGCGCGCTAACGAGGTCGCACGCGTTGGTAGACGAGATGAAGGGATGTATGGAGAGCTACGAGGGATATCTAGGGAGCGGAGGGAATGGGAATGTTTGGGGAACGTGCGTTGGGAGAGTGATGTGGCCTGTGTGCGGTGTGGTGAAGAAAATGGAACGGCTGAGGAAGGAGGTGTTGGCGAGGATAGTAGAAGTGAATTTATTACTATCGATAGCGCGGTATATTGTCCTTTTCAGGCTTAGATTCTACCAATCACTGACTGCTGGACCTTGATTTGTAGAACACATGAAACGGACGATCGAAAAAGCGACCGTTCTTCAGTGAAAAATGCGCAGACCGTATCTGCATCGCCGACATACGACGAACAAACCGGGATCCAGAGCAACACTGCGGGCACAGGTATGCTCATATGGAAGCTGAATACCGCTCTATTTACTGATCTCACTTCTTACAGCACCAGATGCTCTGCCCTCCGAGGACAAAGTCGACCCAAATGCTGCACAGCCAGCTAATCTCCCCTCGTACCTCCAAGCTCTCGAAGCAGGGGCTAATCCTCCTCGTGAGGCGTACCATGCAGCGGCCTCCGAAGACCCCGTTTCTCATGATAGCAAGCCTCCACCAGCGTCCGACGCTTCGAATGGGGACAATGAAAATCTCAGTCTTGCTGTCGTTGCAGCATCTGACGCTGCGGAAGTCATGTCTCCAGAATATGCTGCCCACGATTTCGCCACCGACGTTGCATCTTCGCATAACGTGCCTCCAGATACCTCATCTTCAGCGATTCCAAAGTCTTCGTCGTCCAATACCTACGCTCAGAGTCCGAGAGACGGCGCCACCCTACCTGACCGTCCCGGAGTAGTGCCACGTCCTTACGCGACCACGGCTTTGAACGACTCAGATCGCCCGCATAACGACGCATCCGAAAATATTGACATCGAATCTCAACTCATCCTCCCACCATCGACAAATTTCCGTCCAAATCCTGCTCCCCCTCCTCTTTCTGTTCTCAAGGGCTGGTTCCCTCGGGATAAAAAGCCAGCGACAATGTTCGACCTCGCGATAGTCTCGTCATACCGTCCGCCATCGACTGAATTATCGATGATAGTTGCATCTCCTGGTGTTTCGGCGGATGAGAAGGGACACGATCTTGGACTTGAAATTGTTCCTCCGGTCTATGCGAAGAGGATGGCGGAGGTGGCGGAAGTGTGAGGAGCTACGGTCTTGTTATGATGTCATACGATTTTCGTTAGATTTGGGTGGTTCAAAAGTGTAATGTGTATGAAGACTCAATGAACAGTCGATCATCCTCTTCTCAAAGTCGACCGTGCCATGTAAGTTTGCGTGGCGCACATGGGCCACACCCAAACCACACCCGTCTATTTCGTTCGGACAATTCCGGAAACCCCTTTTCCAAACCCACCACCAAGAAAACATACACCGGTGGTCACTTTGCTCACAAAAAAGCGCTTGCGCTTCGAGAGACTCTTCGAAACTCGCGAATCCGAACCGATTGACGCTGATGTGACTGCTGGACAGCTTTGATGCATGCTGCAGAGTGCTGTAAGGTGCTGTAACGTCGTCAGGGTCTTCGAACTGAGGCTGTTCGTTTTAGTCCGTTTTGCTCTTCGACGGGCGATGCGTGCAGCGTGTAAGGCGGGCTCCTAGTCTCTGGAAGGATACCTTGATAGCTCTCAGCAAACGCTCGACACCACTCCTGCTCGGGCTCCCACTTCGACTTTGTACCCTAGTACTGGCTGCGTAGAGGGACTCGAATTCGTTCCTCACCAACGACTATGTCCCTCGCCTCCCCCGCCTCCTTCACATTCGGTGCATTCGGCGACATTCTCGCCCTCACCCAGATCGTCACCACTCTTATTTCCATCCTCATCCGCTCCCTCTCTTCCTCGCAATCCTACCTTTCCCTCGCACACGAAACCCAATCTCTAGCCTCGACGCTCGACTGTATACGCACCAATCTCTATTCGCATGTGGATTGTAGGTTATGTCCGAATACGAGACGGGCGGTGCATGAGGCGGTGTTGAGAGCGACGTCGGTGGTGGAGGAGATGAGGGGGATGATACTGGGGTATGAGGGGTGTTTTTGCGGTGATGGTGGGGATAGAGGTGGGGATGGGGGTGTGGGTGGGAAGGGGCGGATTGGGACATTGGGAAGGTGGGTTGGTATGATTTTGTGGTCTCTGAGGGAGAAGGATAAGGTTGAAGGGATGAAGAATGAAGTTATCGCGAGGATCGTGGAGATCAATATGTTGTTATCATTGAAGAGGTATGCCTGTCCCCCGACTCTGCAGACATTAATGGTGCTAACGGCTGCTCGCAGACAGAGCGAGGTGTCTGAGACGGAGATGGGACTCAGAACGAACACATTCCACGTTACTCGAAGACCTGTCGATTCTCTTGATCCGTCGCCGGCGTATCACGCTGGGTCGGTGGCCTCTACTGAGTTCTGTGGCGATACCGCCAATGACGACGTCTCGTCCTCATACCATCACGGTAAGTCCCCTATCTCATTCTTCTCTTCACATCCTTTTAGACGTACTCACGAATCCATCCTACACCAGCAGCCTCAACCATCAACGCCGTGCAAGACCGCTCAGAACCCTCAGACCTCCCATCCTACACACAGGCCGTAGCCGACGGCGCTTCGCCTCCACGACCACTCCCAGAGCCTGTTGGGCCGCCTGCGTATCTGACTTCGGACTCCGAGAGATGGGAAAAGTATACGTCGCCTTCGACTTCGACATCTTCGTTCTCGCACACGACTCATGATCCTTCTACGACCAATGGGCGTTTCGTTGAGGGGTATGGAGTCCAGTATGACAGTCAAGGAGACCAGCGGCCGTTGCCACAGCTCGTACTTGCGCCGCTAAGGAGAAACGAGACCGACGATACGTTTTCCGACGAATTCGTGCAGTCGCCAAACGAATTCGCGATCTCATCATCCTCTGTTACGCCGTCTCAATCGCCCCACGAAAACACGTCTTCCTATCGAAGTTCGTCGGCGACTCTCATCGGCACAGCAACATCCTTCTTCAGTTCGTTTTTAGCGACGGTGTCTGGAGAGGACTCTGAGCCTGTGGATGAAGAATCACAACTACCGAGACCCTCGGTCGATCCTCATCTCACATGGGAGGACCTATATCCATACCCTTCGTCTTCCCGATATCATCAATCCATATCTAACGCAGCCTCATGCACCAATCAACCCCCGCCGTTCTCTTTGTCATCGTGGACCGAAACTGGACAATCGGAGAGCGTGGGGATGACGGCTGCTTCTGATCAACCATGGCCTGGAATACGGTCTCAGATGGCGTATTGGGAACACAATGACGAGTATGATGCTGTCGAGATACCTCCTTCTGTTTACGTCTGGATGGGGAAAGGAAAGGAAGAGGTGTGGTAGGATGAGGTTCTCAGAAGTGGGGTTTTGTTATTCTATGATGTACTATGCCTATACCCAGAATGACGACGTTGTTTGTGTGACTGGAAAGAACAACGGTCTCCATCGGTCTACATGGATAAACTCCCCGTCAGAATTCGGCATCTAGGAAAAAGTGTGGCCCGTCCTTCTCGCCACACGAGTAGCCGGTTCGGAGACTCGGCTTACCGTACCCCGCAACCCCTGTCAGCCAGCCCGAGCGTCAAGTTCTCTCACCCTCAGCATCCTACAAAAGGCCTGTCCTCCGAGCGTCTCGAGCTCCCATCCCATGCTTATGTCTTCCATCCTCGCCCGTTCATTACGCGCATCAACCTCGACTTCAACTTCATCCGCACGCACGTCCACCCGTGCCCTCCGAACTCAACTCAACCTCAGCACCATCCGTCTCATGTCTTCAACCGCACCGAAACAATACGAGTACATTCTCACGTCGAAACCTGACCCTTCGGTCGCACTCATCACACTCAACCGTCCGAAAGCACTTAATGCTTTATGTTCACCGTTGTTCGATGAACTGAACGAGGCGCTGGCTGGCTACGACGCGGACCCGGAGGTGGGAGCTATCGTGTTGACGGGGTCGGAGAAGGCGTTCGCTGGTACTTTTCTTTCAATTTTTCTCGAAGCAATTAATGGTCATATGCTCATTGGAACGGATGTAAAGCGGGTGCGGATATCAAGGAGATGAGGGATAAACAGTGTGCGTGTCTTCCCTTGACTTTCCCTTGGCTTTCTCAACCTCACTGCGCCCACACACATCCACACACATTCGGATGTAACCAGTCTCGGACGTCTACAAGAATAAGTTCCTCGAGAACTGGACGGCCATCACCAACCTCCGCAAACCCATCATCGCCGCAGTGAGCGGCTACGCCGTACGTTCACCTCCACTCCTCCATCTTGCTCTTCCACAGACATTCACACGTCTCGTCCTCATCGTATTCCTCCAGCTCGGCGGCGGCTGCGAACTCGCCCTCTCCACCGACATCATCCTCGCCTCCCCCACCGCCAAATTCGGCCAACCCGAAATCAACCTCGGCGTCATCCCCGGCGCAGGCGGTACCCAACGCCTCGCCCGCGCCATCGGCAAATCACGAACGATGGAGCTCGTCCTCACCGGACGCAACTTCTCCGCGCGTGAAGCCGAGGCCTGGGGCGTAGTTTCTCGCGTCGTTGGGGAGGGAGAGGGCGAGGTCGTCAAAGAGGCAATAGAGATGGCGAAGGTGATTGCGGGGAAGGGACAGTTGGCGGTTCAGGCGGGGAAGGAGGCGGTGAATGCGGCTTATGAGGGGAGCTTGATAGAGGGGTTGAGGACGGAGAGGAGGCTTTTCCATATGATGTTTGCGACGAGCGATCAAAAGGAGGGTGAGTGGGTTCGTGGTTCTTTGTGATTGGCTGGAGTGGCTGATTGTTACTGGAAGGCATGAGTGCGTTTACGGAGAAGAGGAAGGCGAACTTTACGCATTCGTGAATTGTCGGTGAGACATAAGTGGTTGGGCGATCAAACGTTCAAGAACGATGATATGTAAGATATAATGCATCTATTCACTATTTGATATCGCATATGCACGAGCTGGCGCTGCATTCATCCGACCTTGGTTCAGACTCTGGGCATCTCCACAAAACCTAACGAATCAAGAGACTTCATAGCTACTGACCTACTCCCAGTCAAAACGCATTCAGACCTTTCCTCATACCTCTCAGTTCCTACTCATCAACAGACCTCAACATCAACACAACTCCAAACCTCACCGCTCCTGTAGAAAGTACGTCCTCGATAGCTCAACTGGTAGTGCTCCGTGCCCTTTGTGATCCATCATGAAATCTCAATGTCGATAAAAGATACTTATTCGCACCACAAACTCGGAGACTGGTTCGAACCCAGATCGAGGGACATTTGTTCCTAGAATGGCGACTTTTTTTTTTTTACACGGACTGCGAATATTGACGGTCGAAGTGATTTTATTTGGTATTTTCGAGTTTGGTGTGAAGTTGGTTTTTTGTATGGGGTATCACAAGTGGAAGTAGAGATTGGCGAAGGAGACAAGAGAAGGATGATGACCAAGGATTCACGGTGCGTCGTTCCTACGAAAATGTCACTCAAGATCTCAAGGCTTCAACCGTCTAACAGGACTACACATCCTTTCCAGCTTCAGAAAGCAAAGCCGAGTTTAAGCCGAACATGTGCATAACAACCCGCCTCAGCACGCATCCTCGTTCATTCCAGCAACCCAAAATACGTATCTTCCCTCATCTCCACCCTGCTCCCACCTCAACCTCGAACGACCTTCCATCACCCACCACCTCACCTCTGCCTCATCCTCGCCCCCAACGCCCTCCTCAACGCCATCACCGCCCTCCCCGCCGCGCTCGCCACCCGCTTCACCCCAGACCCCGCCCCGATCCTCGAAGCCCTCTTCTTCTTCGTCCTCGCTGCTCTCCGGTTCTTCTCGGCCATGCGTTTACGATCGGCAGTTGGAGATGGCATCATTAACATCATGGCGGCTGTGAGGTCGTCGACTGGGAGAGGGGAGGGATTGGCATGGTTGTGGTTATGGCTGTCGTAGGCGTAGTTCGTGTGGAAATGGGCTGACGAGTCGACGCTCGTAGGGATATGACCATTCGAAGAGAGCGGTGTGCCACCCGAAGTGAAAGGCGCGCCACCCTGTCCATGAACCGACTGACGATTATGATATGGATCCGAGTAAGGATACGGATTCAGACTCGTGCGACTCCTCCTCGGCGCAGGAGGAACGAGCAAACGTGCCTGCCAGCCATGTAACGGATGGTCGTACTCCTCCGCCACAGGACTGAGCTGCTGATCGATCGGCCTGTGCCGCATACTAGAGGCCGAATACGCTCTCGTCATGGAGTGTGAGGGACGAGGTCCGGGAACGGAGAGGGGTCGTTTGGATGGAGATGCGCCTGGGGAGGAGGAAGAGAAGGAGATGCGGTTGGGGTTGGAGTGAGAGGAGTGGCGGGGGGAGGTGAAAGGGTAGGTGGCGGGGTAGTCGTTCATTCTGTATTGTACATTGTGGGCTGTCGTCTCGGAGGACTGTCCCTGTCCTGTCTGCGACTCGGGAATGTGATGGTGATTATGGTTTGTCGATGGTGGCTCTTCCACAGGTGTCGTTGGGAAGGGGACAGAGTTCGAGGGAAGACTGTTGTGGCGAGAGCGGGCATCTGTATCGATGCGTGGCGCTGATGAGGCCATGTCCGTTAGTGCAATGTCGTCTGAGTGGTCGAAGCAAAGACGAGCTGGGTTGGTTCAAAGCGAATCCGTGCAAAGGATTCATGAACAGAGAAAGCGGCCATATAAGAGGCGGATGAGTGGTGGCGGCAGATCGTGCATGTTCGACATGAGGCGAAAGCAAGGAGGATGCGTGCAGCATGCCGCATGAGCCTGCACGTCATGACATTGAGATTAAGTATAGTAACATCGCTGTGTTCCGTCTGCGTCGTTGAAATCCAGTATATGTTCCGCGAAAGGGCTGAGGAGGGCTGTGCATGCACACACCGAACGGCGCGAAAAAAGGAAGCTATTATGGGAATATTAGCTGATGAAAACGTAGCCAGCGTGTTTGATATGTGCCATGAGCCTGGATTGAACAGGCGACCTCCAGAACTTCAGTCTGTTGCTCTCCCAGCTGAGCTATCACGGCAATAACACACCGTCTTTGTGTTCTGGAGTCTACACAAATCGTCCAAACGTCACTTATTACACGCTGGGACTGAAAGATACGGACCATCGTCAGGATGGCTCTACTCGTAGCACATATCTACTCAAGTCCTTATGTAAACGAGCATAAGCAGGTCAATCTCAAGCCAACATCCAACCGTTCGTTCCAAACCTCTTCATCCGCATTGCCGCACTTCAATACGTCCATAGTATCACCCTCCCGGACCGACACACATATACGCCCCACTGGCATTCGCGCAAGGATAAACCCTCTCCATCCTCAGCCCACTAATTCTATCAAAAATCACAAATCCTCTCTCTTCTCATAAATTTCCATCGAAGGCCTCACACCATCCATCCTCATCTGTCTCGCCACCTCTTCCACACCGTGCATGACGCGTAAGAGGTTCGCGCCCGTGAATCCTGCGAGGTCGAATTTATCCCAGCCGCGGGAGTGAAGCTCTGCGACCTGTGAGGTTTATGATGGGGAATGAGGTAGTGGTGTTTTGTGTTGAGTATTATGTGGCAATGTTTGATGCGGGAAAGGGATAGTGCTGATGACAAGGCACGTACGAGGTTGGCATATTTCGATACGTCTTCCAGTCCCCTCGGAACCGTCGGGATTCCATCAAAGTCACTACCTATTCCAACACTGCACGATTCAACGTCAGAATAAACTCTAGTAGATATACGGAGAGAAGAAAGGGATGCGGGCGTGAAGACTCACTATTTCCTGCTCCCCGTCACGTTAGCGACATGTTCTACGTGATCAGCCACAGCTTTCACGTCCGCCTTGCCCTCTTCCGCGACGAAGCCCGGATAAAAATTAATCTGCAATCCACAACCCAATCAGCACATTGCATCCTCCACATCAACAAAAACGCCCCAAAGATGAACGAATCCATCGAAACGTACCATAACAACCCCATCCACCGCTCCCCTGCCCTCCCCCCTATCCACTCCCAACCTCTGCAACACAAAATCAGGAACGTTCCTCGCGACGTCCCATACGCCCCTCGCACTGCTATGGCTCCATATCACGGGCGCGCGGGTGAGGTCGAGAGTTTGGAGGGCGGTGGAGTCGGAGACGTGCGAGATGTCGATGAGCATTCCGAGGCGGTTGAGTTCGTGGACTAGGGCGTGGCCGAGCGGGCTGGATATTATGAGGTGGGACAGTTAGTGGTTTTTGTGCCATGCGACCAGGCGAACGGGAGAGGTTGGAGAGGTTGGAGGTGGTGAGGTGGGAAGGGTGGGACGGGTGGAAGGTGGAAGATGGAAGGGAGGTGGTGGCACATACGATAATCCGCCATGTACAGGTTCGATGCCGTCGATGAAACCCCCTGAATCTGCGAATGCGTTGTGGCACATATGAGTGAGTGTCACGTAGCGGACGCCTAGGGCGTAATATTGGCGGAGGACGGCGAGGGAGTTGCCTAATTGATGGCCACTGATATTGCACGACGGATAGCAAAAACCATCAGTATGGCGATATTTATTTGGAGGCGATCAAACTGGAGAGGCTTCTGTGAGAGGTGTGTACGAACCCTTCGACGCCGAGCAAGGAAGCGATCTTGCCCCGACGGACTATGTCTTCGATGTTCGCAGCAGTGAAAGCTTGCTCGAAGGTCTATATTCGGTGCAGATCAGCATTGCAATGATCAATCGTATAATGTCCAAATAACGCACGTCACCATACTTCTCGATCAACAATTTCGCTACATCGATCTGCTCCAATGTATCCCTTCAAGTCCCCATCTTCAGCAACCCTTCAAAAAACAAATGTATAGAGCGACCTAAACCGACACTGACTCACCTAACAGTCCAACTAGGCCACAAAAACTCCGGGCCTTCCTCCCATTCCGTCTTCCCCGGACAATCGACATAAACGCTCCAGAAGAAGCTACCGACACGGCCTTTTTTCAGTCGTGGGATATCGACCTCGCCCGGCATGGGCGATTCGAGGTCGAAGGAGGAGATGTTGTTGTGGTAGAGATTGCGGACGAGGTCGGGGAGGTCTGTTCAGGAATTTAGGAATTGGCATCGGCATTGGCGGAGTCGAGGAAGTGAATTGAGTGATGACGAACCGATATGACCGTCCTGGTGAAGACAGCCACCGGAGCAGGAACATGCATGAGTGACTCCAATCAGCTCAAGAGGACAAGAACCGAGTCGAGCCGAACAATACAGCACAGCGCTGGCAACATGCAAAACAGCAAGCAAGCACTCACGATCACAGGCGCCTGACTCAACAGTACCTCTGCTGCCTGCCTCGAGTCCCTCGGAAGTCCACCCCAAGGCCACCCACCGCTCAAATTCTTCCCTCCATCCTGAATCCTATCGTAGTGGAACAACATCAAGCATAAAGCCAGTAGGAACACTATGATCAGGACGAGGTTAACGCAAGCGCGGACTGGACTCCGAGCGTAACCTGAGTCTTCGTCGTCGATGTCATAGATGTTGCGGATGCGGTCAGAGGACGAGCGTAGGAGTGGGTCACGCTCGGTGTGCGGCGGTGGAGGGATTGAGGCTGGGTTCGGATCCGGGTTCTCCATCCAGTTCTCGATCCGGTTTGGAGTCGGGACTGGTGCTGTGGTCGGGGTTGGTGCTGGTGTTGGTTCTGGTTCTGGTGCTGGTGCTGGCGCCGATTCTTTATCTTGTTCTGGTGCTGGTGCTGGGGTTGGGACCGGTGTCGGTGTATTCAAACCAGAGTTATTGTTGCCCTTAGAAAAAGCAGAGATTTCTCGAGGGTACGAGCCACCAGGAGTGCTCGCCCCTAGCGTGTTATTATCATCGAAGTCTGGGGCGATCTCCCGAGGACGTGAGGACGACATGAGGACGACTCAGGCTGGAGATTAAAAGACTGTTGCCAAGCGTGGTAGGATATGAAAGTAGGGGCTAAATGTGCAAGTCATCGGTCTGGGGATATTTATGTATAAACTGAGCACTAGCATGATAGCAGGTGACTGCGTCCATGAACTCTGTTTTCGTATGATCGCAGTCGTTCGTTCGGGATGGTGAATGTTTGGTGTGAACCGACTTGGAGAATTGGGTGGAATTTGATCTTATCTTATCGCTCAGGAGTGGGTGGCGTAAGTAGCGCCATGACTGTGTGGCGTCCTGTGGCGTCGAATTAGCTCAAAAAACTAGCTTGCAACTTGTGACCTGGGTGCGCCATTCAAGCGCCATTGATGCTCTGTAGGATAGAAACACGCCGGTCGTCCTGTTTATTTGTATACTTGTGCTCGACTACTCCATGACTAGCTTTGCTGAAGATTTTCAGAACACTCTTACAAACTACGCTCGCTTGGCTTCTTTACTAGACACTCGTATCTCAGTATTTTTTCGGCCGCGATGACACTATATCTTGCACGCGAGAACTTGACTTTGATCTACTCTTAAAGTCCTCGAGATCCAAGGCTCGAAGTTGATCGGACTACACCTTCTGGTTGACCTCGATTCGCTATTTGTTCTGCATTACTTTCACACTGGGGAATGATATCTCCTAGTCACATTCTCTGACGACACATTCAACGATGTAGTGTAGTGTGTCGAAAGTGTTTTCTTTTCTGTGCACACCCACATAATCGCACACCTCACAGACACCGAGCCCCACGAGCTGGTCATCGCGCCAGCTTGGAGACACGCACGTGAGTAGAGATCATGTCGATGCACTGAAGCTGTAGCTGGAAAGGTAGACGAAGGAGTTTTCGAAGTTGAGGTGGAAGAGGGGAGAAGGAGAGATCGAAAGACTTTGACATGGAGGACTTCGAGGTGGTCGGGTATGAGAATTGGCGTAGTACTCTGATGAAGATGAGCGGGTAGTCCAGTAATAATCATGATGACGGGGCGGTCAAGGGCGGAGAACTAATGTGGTTGTATGTTTCATATGTATCTCGTCCACAATCTGTTTCTGTACTCCTCCATTTATTTAATCACGTTTGACCTCTCCTTGCTATGCTCGTTGCCTCACATCATCCTCTTTGTTCAGGTTCGAATGCAAGCTCCCTTGATGCAATCGTCTACAGGTCCTGTGGTTGCTCTAAGTATACACCAGATCATCCCACATGCATCCCTGTACGGTTTCATAACTTGCGATGGTGTTCAGGTCTATCGGGGTGAGTGCTCCGGTGATGGCATGTCGTTCGCTGACCGGCTTGAAGCTGGAGCGCAGAGTTTTGATAACTGAACTAGAGCACGCCACTCTCGTTCGCGTCACGGTAAAAGCCCACTACGGTGCACGAGCAGGGTCAGGTCCAAATCGGGGTCGGACTTGCTCCTCCGCCTGCGGCAGCGCCTTTCCGGGGTCTCACTTGTCTCCTTCGTTGTTGAATGTGGCTGTCACGCAGCCTCACGCTAGCTTAAATACCACTCGCCTACAACCAGCATCTACTATGCCTGGTCCGCAGACCAGGAACAACGCCGGCGCCCCTCGTATCATTGCTCTCAAGATTGCTGCTTCTGGCCTTGTCAAATGGTTTTTCTCTACGGGTTTTTGATCACGCTTGTCACTACAATCGTCGATTCTGGTTCTCATCGGCATCTTCGACTGTGCGGAGGCGTTACTTATTCTCTGAATTGGATCTTCTACGTGTACCGATACTTTAGTAGGCCTCGGAAAGAGGCGCCGACCACAGGTGGTGCGCTTGGTTCCCTTTTAAACATACTTGTCTCTAACAGCCACTACTTATACGGGGCCCGGGCAACCTATTACAGATATTAGGATATCAATCTTAAGTATCTGGCTCCGGTCGTACAGTTCCAGGACCCCATGAACCGCTGCGGAAGTTCGCTCGCCTTCCCGATTTGGACCTGACCCTGCTCGTGCTCCGTAGCCCACGTTCTAGCATTTCAACTTACACCTGCGATCCTGGCGCCATATAATTCCGAGGTGCACCCACGGTGAATCCATGTTACACGGTCATCCGATTCCCAAAAAGACCCGAAACTATACATACTAATTACTATCACGCTGCGTGTCCCGTGGGTTGATCATGCCACTTTACGCTGGCCGATGAAACACTCACTGTTTCTCACATCTATGTCTTATTTTCGCGAGTTGGTTGCAAATTTAATTTTGGCTGGAAAGAAACATATGTTGTTCCCAGGATACCGTTATCTTGTACTTTGTCCACAATGTTTCCGGCTGTGGTTGTTTCATGTTGAATGGATGACTCGATCGTCGCACATCCAGCAACTGGTCAAGAGTTTGAGCATATTGATTACTCAACGGTACAAGGGCACAGGATATTCCATGATAGTTCTACCCTGATACAGTGCTATCTCATCGCCGAGGTCGACACTCACGTAGGTATGGTTTCCATCTGATCATCCACATCGCTCGGGATTGTCTCAGCCTCCTTTCGCCTCCTACCATCAGTTATTTCCCGAATCCCGCTCTCCACAGGCATATATATGGACTGTCACCGTTTGGCTCATCTCTGCTCGCTCAACTACCAATGTCTGATTCCGCCGTCCTACAAGATATTATTTTAGAACAATACCTATGGTGCGTAGCTTCTATGCTTGCAGACAATGTATAAAGTATAATGAGTGTTCTGTTTCTTCAAGGTTGATAAGTAATTATGCCTTTGTGTCCGCATTCGGTCTGTTTCAATACCCATTCATCACTTTCTGCGATGCCCGAGTCGAATTCCTTGTGTGCAACTCATCTGCTCATTTAAAATTCAACCAAGCAGCGGTTTGGGCTCTTGACTATCTCCAAACGTCACCGATGGAAATTGCCGTTATCTGGTCGAGGAAAACACTATCTGGCACCTCCATTCTATTCATTGTCAATAGGTATGGCTTCTTGTTATGGCAGGCAATGTCAATATATGTAGAGATGCCCGGGACAGTCAGCAATAATTCGTGAGTACATCATCAGAAGTTTCTTTATGTGCTAGCAGAATATACATTGATCCTTGAATGTAGTTGCCGTGTCGTTGAATATACGTATCCTGTGTTAGAAATCATCACAGTGGCTAGCACCAGCTGTACGTTCATGCAATAACCAAGGACCCACCGATCTGGCCTGTGTCTTATTGATCACTCTCACAGCCTTGATCGCTATGCGAGTATACATCATATATCACCGAAGCCGATATATACTGGCTATGTCTGCTGTTTTAATTATGACCAGGGCGGCTCTGGACATTTACGTGAGTCCCGTTTCTCAGCGCACTGTGATGAGCATTCCAATTCTCTTCACAGGAGGACATCATCGACATTCCAGTATCCACTATGGGTTCAAGTTTTGCAGGATTGTCTCGTTGTGCATCTAGTGAATCGTCTGAATCCGTTTTACACAGGTGCGTTATAACTATACCCAAATATCACCCATAGAGTTGTGGTGATTTTCACTGATGCGCTTATGAATTACCATAGTGAGGCAGCATCCCAAATATCGGAGTCACTCAGATCTCACCACATTATTAGTCCTACAGATTTTGACAGGACTAGTACTACCACTTGCATTTGACACTATGATGATTCTATTGACGGTCAGGAAACTCTCGTCCCACCTTGGTGAGATGCGCAGACTCGGGCAGAATTCCATTTCACAGACAATCTTGCATGACGGTAGGTGTACCTACTTATGGATGCTGCATCATGACCCTCAACTCACTGATTGTGTTCTGACCAATAGGAATTCTTTATTACATGTAATAGTCTCATCTTACTTGGGAATATATTGCTCTTATACTGGATTGGCAGAGGTATATTCTTGGTGGTGGCAGCAAGTGGCTCTCTTCAGATTGTAAGTCTGCACATAGAAATGGCAAACAGAGACTGAATATTTCATCCACAGGTTGCTATTTTTCATATCAACGTGAATCATAATTTTTGCGCACTTCTTGATATCAGCTTCTCACACCTTCATACTAGTCGTTTGGGGTGGTACTCAGCGAATTCATGGGACCATTTTTGTCCGTGTATGATAATCTTAACATCCCCTCTTTCTAAATGTCGGCTGATTGGGTTGTGGAAGAAAAGGATTCCCAATCTCTTGGCCAACCGTTTATTCCTCAACCTCAGAACCCACCAGAATCCACGATACGGGCTTTCCTCGAATGACCCAACTCTACCCGCTCCCTCATTGGCCCAGAATCGTCCCAATCGCTTCCTCGGCAACATTGGTGAACCACTTGACTATGACCAATGGGATGACTTTTTGGATGACGAGGATGTCCATGATGAAGCTGCAGGGAATAACACGGATTCAAATAGAGCACAGGACCCTTTGATGACCTTTGTTCCAGTCGTGAGTGCTCCATCCTAGTCACGAGAATGATCGAAATAATTCTTTTGTGGAACACATAGGTGTATGAAGGACCAGATGCAATAAATATCGAGATGGTCCCTATGCAAAGAGAGCCAGAGCCAGTCGCTGGTCCATCCAATGTGACGGAGATAGCTTGAATCTGGATCAGCGACTATGTCCCCGTAAGTTACTTCTATTCTCGACTCATCTTCACCCGACAGTATTCTAATGATCACATGAGTCCGTAGGCATCTCTGAATGAACCACATTCTGAATTGATGCAATGGTCTCTCCCTCGGCTACCATTTGATATTTTCTTACTGTGTCTCTCCTTCCTGCCGGCACGAGCATGACTTGATACCTCCTCATTTCTTCTCCTTTTCTCCGTTGCACATATAAAAAACACTGTCCATTCCGATTCCGTTCCATTTGATTGATGGCTGGTTCATAGTACACTCATATGTTTTCCTCTCATTTCTTGATTGCTCACACACAAATAACGGTGTGCATAGACCCAGTTTTACCGGCAGTTGCATCCTATACAATATTGGGGTTTTTCTATCTTCATTCACTCCGTTTATTTCTGGACATAGGCACCTACGTAAAGCTTGAACTCTGTGCAGTATACTATGATTTCGTATTTCTTGGCACTGACATCATAATCTGTCTAAGCACATTTTGATAGTCGATCAGAGGTTGCCTTACATGCATTTATTTGGTGGAACCTACTACTTTCCAATAGGGCTTGCAGGCTTCAAGGCCACGGTTACGGTGGCGGACGCAATATACTACGTTGCTAGAGAGACTAAGTGAATCTGTGTATGAAGAAATAAAAACCACAGATCGTTCAGAAGAAAACCGTGCCAAGTGAGGATAAGTATGAATGCACCATCTCAGTCTAGGATGCTGAGATGGCTGCAGGGAGTTCGAGATGGCAAAAATCAGCTCTAACAATACAAAAACCCCTTCCATAGTGGAAAACTCGATTGACGCAAAAGGGTACCATGGGCTGTCGAAGTTCGACAGCGGCCGAGAAACCCGATTTCCGCAAGATACGCTTTCTGCAAGTTTTGTACGGGAAGAACGAGGTAGTGCGAGACGCGGAAGGTATGCTAATAACCTCCACATAATCTTCCCACCCATGCGTTACCTTTTGTATGCAATGGGCGCTCACATCAGAACGATTTGTATATTAGCTCCGATGGTCATCAAATTTTCGCTTCCTCCCAATCAGCCGATGTCCGTGTAGCCCGTTTCTTAAAGTCTCAGTAAATCATTGGTGTATCCGTGGTCATTCATTCGTCAGTTCAGCGCCAGCCGATGTGCGGTCTGCCTCCGTAGGGTCTTCTGCTCCAGATTGTCGCAAGATGATGTGAACTGTGAAACGAGTGCCTATCTAATGAGCCTCTACTTCGGAACGGATCTGTATACATCTCGGCTGCTGATAGCCACCAGCTGCATCAAGACGGGGCTCACCCCTGCGCATAAATACCTTATAATTGAGATCTTTCCCGTCGCTTTATTTGCAACAACCTCTCTGAATCATCATGGCTCCATCCACACTTTCCCAACTTTATAAGCTCATTGCGGAGTCAGTAGCCGCTATCGATGCCAGTTGTGCTACTCGGGGTGTTGAAGTTCCCAGCATCGATTCCGCATTCACTCCTGGGTCCGAAGCATTCCGCATGGACCCCACTGTCGCTGAAGCCATCAATATTGCGACGGCGTCTGCGTATCAGATAGCGGCTCTCCTAGAACCTCCATCGGTTTCCGTCTCTCACATCGCATCCGGTGTGCGTGTATATGTTTCAACTAGACTTCTTACTCTTACATCGCGGTACTTTGAAGCACTATAAAGCGATTGCTCTTAGGGCTCTCCTCGAGACGAACACTGTCGAGATCCTGCGGGAGGCAGGACCAAAGGTACGTTCACCGCTGTTGTAGCTTCTGTACAATCACGCACCGATATTTGATGAAGGGTATTCATGTGGATGAGATAGCGAAGAGGAATCAACTAGACCCGAACAAGAACGGTAGCTCTCATCGTCATTATGCTCTCAGTTGTATATTTATCTACGCATTGCACAGCTCGTCTACTTCGCTACCTCTCCACGTACTACCTCTTCCGCGAAGTCGAGCCAGATGTCTTTTCAAACACTCGTATTTCGTCGATGCTTGACACAGGGAAATCTGTTGATGAACTTCTCGCTAAGTGTGTTCCATATGTTGCGATGTGTTATCAGATATATAGCTGATGAAGGAACATTGTAGACCCCGGGACAGGCACGTAGGCACCTCCGGGTTTGCCGCTTTAATCGAGCATATGTATATTCCATTTCATTATACTCCATATTTTCTTGGGCTTATCTTCTTCACAATCAGCCTCGACGAGGGATGGATGGGAGCAACCTCCGCTGTCGCGACCCTTCGTGATCCAAAGACTCGCTTTTCCGGGGAGCCCACTGATGCACCGCTGGCTCGTACTACAGGTTCAAATGTCCCTTTCTGGGTCTGGATCGAACAGCCAGGCCAGGAAATGCGCCTTCAGCGTTTTGGAATTGCTATGCAAGGAGTGGCCGCGATGCAGCCAGCAGAGGCGGCTCTTGATAGTGGTATTATGATTCGAGCATAATTTTCCCGTCATTTTTATTATACGCTCATGGAATATCACTCACAGGCTTCGACTGGAAAAGTCTCGGAGTGGAAGATGTGGTGGTCGATGTTGGAGCCGGAGTCGGCGCCGTCTCTCTCGCGCTCGCAAAGTCCTATCCGTCTCTGAAAATTGTGGTTCAAGACCGTGATGCCGTGATTGTGCAGGCAAATGGGGTGTGTACACTACTACGTCAATGTGTGAAACAATTAAATCGATGACAATAACCTACCTATATTCACAGATCTGGGCTAAGGAGCTTCCCGAAGCTGTTCGGTCTGGGAGAGTCAAGTTGCAAGGTCATTTTCCCCTCCTCTGTCTCAGACTGTCACTTTCTTCCTGATTTTAATTATCCTTTCTTAGGTCACGACGTCTTCACTCCGCAACCCGTCAAGGGAGCGAGTGTATTCCTCCTCAAGCAAATTTTACATGACTGGTCTGACAGTTATGCGATCACGATACTGAAACACCTGCGTGCGGCCGCGACACCGAAAACGAAGCTCGTGGCCATGGAGAGCATCGTGCCTTACGCCTGCCGCGATACCCGAACTGTCGATAAAGATGGGATTCCGGGGGCTATGCCTCATGAGGCTCCCGAGCCCCTTCTCGCTAATTTCGGCCCAATTAATGACATGCAGTACAACAGTGACTTCACGGTGCGTAATATTCTCATCCTCGTACCCACGACAGATTTATGACCATTGACGACTGACCGACCCGATATGAGTAGATGTTCTTATTGGGGAACTCGCAGGAGAGAACGATAGATCATTTTTATTCACTCCTTCTGGCGGCAGGTTGGAAGATCATCAGAGTGTATCAGGGAGAAGGTCGCTCTGCTTTTATGCAACAGATGGAGGCTGTACCTGTTTAGAGTGATGTTTTGCACATGGGCGTCTTTCACCTTTTTTTTTGACATCGCGGAAAATTGTATCTGAGTAGTGTCTGTGACGAATTTATAGGTACTGTTTGAGAGTAGAGAGAAACAATAGCACGACAGACGCTCACATTCTTAGACTGACTTCTTTCAGAACATTATTTCTGTCGGGAGCAATTGACTGCGGGGAAAAAAAAACGCAGGCGTTACTCTCATAACCCTAAGCCTGAGAGTATTACTGTAAGTAAGACCCAATGTCGGTCAATGGGGTTCGATGCGATGTCGGCCATTTGTTAAACCCTTAGGAACGGTCATCCGACTATTCCTCAATCTCTGGAGCTATCTAGATTCAAGCTACGGGATGTTAAAATCCTACAGTGATCATGACACAACGCTCCCGCACCTGTGTTCGCTCCGAATCGCCCAAACCGCTTTCTCGGCAACAAATGGAGAGCCTCTTGACTATGATCAAATTCAATGGGATGAGATTTTGGATGAAAAAGGTGTCGATTATGGAGCTGTTGAGAGTAAATTTAAAGCGGAGCTTACAGAAATGATACAATATTGACGACTCTGGTCCTAGTCGTGGGTTCTATGTACATTTCTATTTACGAGATAAGATAAAATGATGTTAACATGTCCGGCTCTCCTTAGGCCTTAGGTCTATTACGAATGAATCAACAAAGAGAATATTGAGATGGCGTTTATCATGCAGGCTTGGAGCGAGACACTAAGTACGCTGTCTGGACCATCAGTATCCCATGCAATAGAGACGACTAGAGAGTACTCAAACCGGCAAGTGATTTTCTGCTTTTCGATCGAATCTAGATTTTTGAACATGGAATTTCGGACATAGCATAGCGTCCAGGGAACCGTCACCTCCTCACGCGATAATGTAGATCTCGCATCTGAATCACTATCAGCGTGGGCCACAAGAATCCATAATGCACAAACGACACGGCACGGCACGATTAATATCAGGGATTCAAACATCCCATCGGCGACCGTGATGTATGACTCTGCAACTCTGCGTACTATACGTTTGCTTGTGTAGATCGGAGTTGAGGGATTCAGAAGAGGTTGGGGCTCAATGGTATTGTGGAGGGAGTGTATAGTCGAAGATGAGCATGGGGTTGTGATTGATATAGGAGTCAGCGTTGGAAGCCTTTGGGGTCGTCGAGTGCTTGGATAATCGGTTCGAGAAAGGGGAGATGGTTTTGTTCTTGGAATTGCAGGTATTCCTCGGTCAAGAGACAAGAAAAATGACAGAAGCGGTAGATGTTGTCTCCACTGGCAGCTGGGTAGACTGGTGACAGCGCGCCTTGATTCGTTTGAATGAGACTATGCGACAGAGCCCGAGAGGACACACGAGACATTCATTCATAAGCTTCGACACAGCTTTCCTCTTATGTAAAAATTCTAAGCGAGCGAGAATCGTGCATACACAGCGAAGGATCCTCTTTTCTGCCAACGCAGAAATGAATCACGATTACATTCTGCTGTCACAGAACACATACCGCCTTTGTCCGGAAGAGTTCTGAGCGTGCAGAACAAGATTGTTCTCATTTCTGCCCGTACATAAAACAGGATCTGGCGCTGTGATAGAGCTTAGAAGTTAGAGTGGCTCAGCGGAAAACGTCACAAGAATGGCTTCTGAAAGACTGAATCTGGGTTCGTATAACTACGCCAAAGGGTTGAATGGGTGATACCGAGTGAAACTGGATAGTACAACGGGTCTACGGTCCAGACTCAAGAGATATCAATGAGTTGGCCATATCATGACACGAGGAAAGGAAAGCAACAGATGCTGATGCGTTCGAGCGCTGCGCCACACTATAACCGGAGCAAGCACCAGGAGAGCGCAGGACAGGAGGCGGGGGGTCTGAATCGTTTTCATTGGGGGAAAAGAGGCGCAGGTCGTCTCTGGTTTCATTCCCAGGGTATTCAGAGTGGGCTGCTAAGAAAGACGTCGAGTATGGAAGATGTGGTTGTGAAGAGGAAGATGATGAACACAGAAGACGTATAAATATTTTTAGTTAGTTAGTAACTCAGACTCATGCAGAACAAAGCGCTGCACAGAAAGCGGAACCACTCGACTCGAAGCATAACTAAAGAGCACAAAACGAGGAACATCAAAGGAAGACGGGACGTACCCTCCGTCCCATTCCACAAAAAAAGAAACATCCGCTCACTCCTGCAACAATCCCTTGACGACCCCCGCCCCAGCGGCAATCATCCCGCTTCCACTCCCAGCCCGAGTCCCGCTCCACGCCGTCCCCGCCCCAGCCATCCCAATTGTCGTCGTCTGCGTAACCGAATACAGCACCTCGCCCGTCGCGGCACATATAAGCGTCGCGACTTTGAATTCCATGCCACGGATCATGAGCATTAGCAGGAGCGCGAGGAGGAAGAGCAGGATGAGGGAGAAGGGCGAGGCGGGGGTGAGGTGAGGAAGTCGAGGAGGGAGGAGAGGAGGTCGAGGGTGGAGGTTAGGACGGGGGAGTACATATTTGCTAGTGAGTGGTGGTGAGTGTTGATATGATATATCGAGGGTGAGAGGTCAAGGGGTCGGTGATAGGCCTACAAGGGGGGCTTATAAGACTATGGACACGTTGAATGTACCACGCTACTCGTTTGGCTTCTCCTTTGTTCTGAGCCCGGAGGTAAGTGATTTTATGTTCTGAAGTATGACATCTCACCGCTGAGTCGATCGAGGAACAAGAAGTGCATGTAGTCGAAAGAGCTGATAGTTAGCTAGCAGAGCGTCGGCTTAGGCCTATACAGTACATGTACCAGTCCAGGCCAATCGCTAAGATCGTCGTGAATCGAGTCCGCTTCTGACTTATTCTTGAGCTTGCATGTACATAGTCATGAGCCAAGATAGTGGTTGGAAGCGGGAGGCGTGCATGTTGTGCGACGGGGCAGTAAAGATATCGGGTGAGCAAACGGTTGGCGAGCATATACAGTTGGAAGAGCTCGTGGACGGAGTTGGACGGATACCGAGTGAACGCGCACGGTGAGAGTACAGAGTATGAAACACAGGAGATATATCCATGGAAACTAGACATAGCTTTCATCGTACATAGAAATCCTTAGGGGGCGAGAGTACCATTGACAGTCGTGGTTCAGCGGGAAAAGTCGCAAGAATTCGATTATGTTCACACCGAGAGATAAGATAAGATAAGAAGAAGTGGCTGAGTCAGAGGAACTCCCATTTGTCCACTCAGGGGCAACCGACAATATAATCTCTCATCCAACGACATCCTCTCCTCGTCGTCGTCCCCGACATCGACACCCACAAAAATGTCACCCCCACACAGCCCCGAACCCAGCGAACGCACCTCCCTCCTCCAACGTACCCTCCGTCCCTTCCGCCCTGATAACTTTGCGGTACCATCCGAGCTCCCCAGACAGTGTACGCTTGTAGTCCAACCTTAATTAAAAATACTGGCCCCGCGTGAGGCAATTGGATAGGACTTATGTAAGAATGAAAATAGCCAAAGAATAGCCTTGCACTCAAACTGTTCTAACACGGCGAACATAGAGAACCCCGGCTATGATGAAGGGTCTCACCTGAGCCACATCAGCGAAACAAGCGCGTCGTCTGGCACACTCCGAATCACCCAGAGATAGAGATGCACTGACCTGATCCGCAACACGGGCAAAAACTCCTGGACGCCGTGCAGTTGCTACTTATGGGACCTCCAACTGATGATGAACACTGTGAAACATAGAGGACAGCATCGATGCCTCACGGCCAATTTGGGAAGGCTAAGCAGACAGGACAGGAGCTTCGACTCCGGTTGTCATGTGAGTCGGGGAGAGATGTCGATGTGTGGGATCCTGAAAGACTATTTATGTTCTCCGTACGGACTTGAGGTCTGAGCCTCGGAAGTGTTCAACTCTCAGAAGAGCATAGCATATATCGAAATTTTTGACGTCACATTTGCATTTATGTCAAGCAACTGTCTAATTCGAGGGAAGGTGTACGTAAATTCTCAATCAATCATAAGATTTAGAGCCCGAAAAGGTCAAACACACTCACAAGCACTTATATCGCGACAACAACCTCTCCAGTACTCCGAATCCAGGCGCCTCAACATCCAACACCTCGGTGAACTGAGTAAGAGACGCTCCCGTGCTCGTCTATCAACGACATCATTGTGCCGCCGTCCAACCCCACCCATATCAACTTCTCCAGAGTCCCAGCACCTATGTACAGCGCGAAGCCGCAGCATCTTTCCGTGAAACACCCAAAGCACACCCAGCATACGCGTATCACATAGCCCAAGCCCCCATCGGTCCCGACCAAACCGTCAAAACCGTGATACATACGACGCCACTGCCACCAATCACCAAACCATCATCATCCTCCTCGTACCAAAACTGACACTCCACGTCAAAACTCTCCTCCCCGATCCGACGTGTGGCATACCTAATTAGTTCTGATGATCAGCGTATTTCCAACTTCGCGAACAAGGCTAGGCTGCAGCGGGTAGACTCGTGTTGTGTATTATGTCGGAGGCGCGCAGAAGGACTGAGCAACGATGTATGCATACTGCAGTGACAGAATGTGGGTCGGTGAGAATTCGAGCGTTGACAACACACACAATGACCGGATAGGCGAACATAGATCGTACAGCCGGAAGGAGATCATCGACATACCTAGACCAGGAGGCGGAAGGAATTGTGCGTGGAACAATCCGAGTGCGGTCAAGGAGACGGAGGCGTTACAGTGCCGTAACGCAGAACAGAACGAACGGACGCAGTCGGGCTTCAAATCTGAGAGCTATACATACCCGACTGTGTACACGCACAGGTATGTACGCCGAACAGGAGTGATGAGACGGAGTCGACGTCGGTCTTGAAGAGAGATAGATTGTGACACGTCCTGCCGTTGAAGAATGACCGTCCGACCGACCTACTGACGCGTCGTCGATCCGAGGCGCAGGTACGTTGCATATAAAGGGCGCCTTCGAGATCTTTCGAGTCCTGCGAAACGATCAGATCCCATCGTGCTATATTCCTCATAACTGATCCTCTCAGAAAGTTCAAACTCACTTGCTCACCGCCGACGCCCTCATGGCACACCAGGCGCACGTCCGCCACCCATCCACATCCACCCACGCACCACCCCCGACGACGCTCCATCTCACCTTCACCTCCCCAGATCCCTACAACACCACCCTCGTCCCCTCCTCCCCGACCGCCACCACTGGAATCGCACAGTCCCATTCCCCATCCGCCCTCTCCTTCAGCTCCTCCGCCCTCGCCGACACTCCTACCCCTCTTCCAATCCACAACGGTAACGGCGACAGGTCTATATCCGATGAAGGAGGCATTTGGGATGGCGAGGAGAGGCGAGGGGATAGTATAAGCATCCGCGTCGAATCTCCCGTTTCCGAGTATTCTGCTCCCAGGACTAGTCCCGCATCCAGTAGCAGGAGTGGGAGTGGAAGTCGGGGTCGGGGTCGGAGCCGGAGTCAGAGCGGAAGCATCCAGCGTCCCTCCGGTGCCCATCCACATCTGACCACCACCGTCGCCGGCTCGGGGATAATAAGTGCGAGCGGGAGCCTCATGTTTGCGCCCACAGCGCGGGGAGGAGCAGGGCCAGGAGGAGTAGGAGGAAGCCGTACGACTACACCGGTGGTCAGACTCGGACAACGGCCGCGTTCGAGCTCCGGTGAGCGGAGCGGTGGGACATCGGAGGTAGAACGACCCGAGGCCCTCTACGTCGTCGTCTCTCCCGCCTCTTCATCCGTCAATCAGAATCAGGTTCGCCACCACGATCAAGGTCAATCCGAACAAGGACAAAGGGAAAGACCAAGGCAGTGGAGGGGACGGCGGCGGTATGAAGAGACGGTTATCCATGGAGGAGGACCCGGAGGAGAGGTCGTCGCTAAGATTATGTGGCGGAGGTTTAGAAGACCGGAGGTCGTGTTGCTAGGACCGAGTATGCCACATGGGAGGGCGAAGGTGGTGGTAGAGGGGTGGGTGAGCAGGATGCGGAGGAGGATTCGGGAGAGGACGAGGATGCGAGGAAGGGCGAGAGTGGCAGTCGGTGACGGAAGGGGTTCAAGTTCGAGGAAAGTACAAGTAAGTGCATGGAGTTGGCGTTGGACCGGGAGTGCGCGCTTACCGGAGCTAGGAAGACTTCTGTCGCCGTCGAGGACAGTAGAGGGAGACGACATGTCTGGATGAGGACGACCGGACAAACGTGTTCGCGCACCGATAGACTCCCTCCACAGAGGACATATGAGCTGCAGGTGAGCAACAGTACACATTTTGCTGTGGTTTGTCGGTCAGCACACATACCTGAGTGTTGTTTATTCAATCCAGCTAGTGTCGACGCCCGTACATGACGGGAACACAATAGCCAGAATACGCACCGAAGCCACAGGACGTGGAAGGACGTTGGATATCATGTTCATGGAGACGAACACGGCAGGGGGAAGGTCCGAGCTTCAGGATTTGTGCGTTGTTTCCGCGGTGCTACTCCTGTGCAGAAAGTAGCAGAGGTGATCATGGTTAAAAAGTACCTGCTTGTCTTCAGACTGTCGATTCAGAAGTACCGCGCATTTGGGTCAACAGTCCGTGTCATGTGTTAGATATCAATTTCGTAAGTCCAATGTCTCAGGAAGCAGATCTTGAAAAGCCCTTCGAAAGTGGTCGGAATACTTAGAATGGGATGATGAATCTCCACGATTGGCCAGCCGAGAAAATATAAGACAATATCGCCTCGTGACAAGGGGAAAAGGGAAAAAGATTGGGTAGGGCGGATGGTCTTTGTGAGCTTGTTTCGAATATGTTTTTCACCTGGGTAGAAACACGATATCAATCACTGGCGGTATGAAGAACGGGAGTAAAAAGGTGCATACATTGGGAAGAACCGTACTTCCCGCTCGCTGTCCACCCCATTCCAAACGTACACCAATCACACGCACAATATCCGTCTGACTGTCTCGAACGATCCGCATAACGAATATCGAAGCCATCCTTCCATCCGTCAGAACTGTTGCAAGGAGAAAGAAGATCGAAAATGATACGCTGCATTCCAAATCCCTATAGTATCAGCACAAACAATCTCAAACAAATACTTACACCAAACTCCCGCCCCCTTCTCTCCTTCCCTCCTTCCCTCCTTTCCTCCTTTCCCCCTCCCATCCCTGCGCACAAAAGCACCCTACAAATCCTCCCTCTTCCCATAAACATCCACCACAGGCCTCACCCGCTCCTCCCTCATATCCCTCGCCACCGCCTCCGCGCCGCGCATGATGCGTAGGAGGTTACCGCCTGTGAGACCCGCGAGGTCGTATTTGTTCCAGCCGCGGGAGTGGAGTTCTGCGATCTGTTTGGTTTGGTTTGGTTTGGGAGGGGATGGGGATGGGGATGGGGAGGAGTGGGTGGAGTAGAGGGTGATGGGAATGGGGAGGGGGGGATGTGGATGGACGTGTTCATGTGAGCGCGGGCGATTACGGTTGCGGATTCGGATTCGGATATAGGCATATATTCAACACGAAACGAGTTCAGCTGAATAACGCTTCTTCTCCAAAAAAAACAAAAAAAAAAGCAGAAGTGCAAAGCAGACGACGACGACGACGACGACGACGCTGATGAGACTGATGAAAACAAAAACACACCAAAGCAGGATACTTGGACACGTCCTCCAACCCTTCTGGCGTACTCTCTATCCCATCATAATCGCTTCCGAGCCCGACGCTGTGTGCATCATCAAACAAAACATGCAAAGTCATGGTCAGCATTACATCCTCTGGTCGGATTGTGAGACGAGATGTATGATATACGTGGCGAAAGTAGAAGGAGGGAGGGAGATGGTGGAAGACGGAGGGAAGAGATGGAGGGAAGAAATGCAGATAGGGGCTCCGAACGAACGAACGAACGAACGAACGAACGAACGAACGAACAAAAACAGCCGACGTATGATGATAAAGTATGGACGGACGGGAAAAAGAGACATAGGGACCAAACTAAAACGAAAGGGAACAAAAAGAAAAGAAGAAATAGAAGAGAGGAGAGACAAAGAGGAAAACAAGAAGAACACTCAACTGCCTCCGACTCCCCGTCGCATTCGCCACCCTTTCCACATGATCCGCCACCTTCTTCACGTTCGCCTCCCCGGGCGCGGCGACGAAGCCGGGCGAAAAGTTGATCTAGATGATAACCAGTAGTCAGTCAGACTCCCGTATCATCCCCCTCCCCCTCCCCCTCCCCGACCCAGTCCAAAAGAAAGCAACGCACCATAACGACCGCGTCCTTCTTCCCCTCTCCCTCCCCAATCTTCTCCAACACAAAGTCCGGCACATTCCTCGGCACGTCCCACACACCCCTCGCACTGCTATGGCTCCATATGACGGGCGCGCGGGAGAGGGAGAGAGCCTGGAGAGCGGTGGAGTCGGATGTGTGGGAGAGGTCGACGAGCATGCCGAGGCGGTTCATTTCGTGGATGAGGGCGTGGCCGAGGGGACTTTTTTGGGTACGTTTCGGTAATATTCAACGACAGGAAGCAGCAGGTTGAGCGATTTTTTTTGGCCAAAGTTGGATGGAAGCATCAAAAGTCAGATGGTTGGATGTGAGTAGGCTAAGGGATGTGAGAGGTGAAGTGAGTGAAGAGAAGGAACGTACGATAGACCGCCATGCAACGGTTCGAGGGGGACGAAGATCCCACAAGAGTCCGCGAAGGCGTTGTGGCAGGAATGGGTGAGGGTCATGTAGCGTGCGCCGAGGGCGTGGTATTGGCGGAGGACGCCGATGGAGTTTCCGAGTTGGTGGCCGCTGTGAGGTGGGTGGTAAGGGCGTCAGTGAAGGGTTGGTGTCAGGGATGGGTGGGAGGTGGAGAGGTGGAATGTGGCGAGAAGGGAAAGAGGTATGAGGAAGGAAGTGTGGCGTACCCTTCGACACCGATAAGCGACGCAATCTTTCCACGGCGGATGATGTCCTCAATCTCGAAAGACGTCGTCGCGAGCTCGAACGTCTAGAGCGATGAAGAACGCATATATTCGAGGTTCAGTGGTTGAGTATTACACGGATATGTGCGGGTGAAAGCGGGACGGATGTGGCGAAGGGTGTGGCGGAGCGAATGGCAGAATAAGGAGGAGGAGGAGGATTGAAGGAAGAACGTACGTCATGGTATTTATCAATCAACAGTCTCGCCACATCAATCTGCTCAAGCGTATCCCTGCACAACTCACGGTCGGGATTGCGCCATAAGAATATATGAACGGGCGAGAGAAACGCACCGAACCCTCCACGTAGGGAGCACAAAGTCCGGTCCATCACCCGACGGGCATCCCACATACACAGACCAGAAGAACCCGCCGACTCTTCCCTTGCGCAAGCGGGGGATATCGACGTGGCCAGGGGTCTCGTGTTCGAGGTCGACGGCGGTGACGTTGTTGTGGTACAGAGCGCGAACGAGGATCGGGAGGTCTGTGGACCGAGTCAGGTTCCCTCATTGAAACCCAAATAACGAGACTACATACCGATGTGTCCATCCTGAATAAAACGATTAGAATACGACAGAGATGAAGGAGGAGGGCGGCACGCACGATAACAGGCGCCTGCCTCAACACCACCTCCGCCGCCTCGTCCGAATCCTCCGGCAACCCACCAAGCAAAGGCCACCCCCCATCATGCTTCCTCCCCCCTCTCCCGTCCTGCACTCTATCATAATAAAACAGCATCAAGAACAGCGCCAACAGGAACACGACGAGCAACGTGAGTCGGATAGCGATCCGGGCGACGCGGGAGGTGCGTTCGCCCGTGGGTTCTTCGAGGTCGGGGTGCGAGTGGACATGGTGCGAGCGGAAGGGACGGAGGGTGCGTTGGAGGAGGGAGGTGCGTTCGCTGGGTTCGGGACTGTGTGGTGGTGACATTTTTGTGGGTGTCGATGTCGGCGAAGACGACGACGAGAGGACGTTGTTTGATGAGAGATTATATTGTCGGTTGCCCCTGAGTGGACAAATCCGAATTCTTACTGACTCAGCCACGTATCCTTATCTTATCTTTCTATCCACACGTTCTTGAGGAAGAAATTGTTTTGAATTTTCATTATCGTCTTCTTCGCGACCACATCCTCCGTCCTCTATGGCTTTCCGTACAGCCCACTGTGAATACTGTCAAACATCTCGTTTGGAATGAAACTATAGACAGTTCGCTCCTCTGATAGATAAAAACTACCCTACTGTGGAAGTGGTCCCGTCTCCTCGTTCTGTGCTCTTCCGATGCTTTTTCGATGTGCAGCGCTCGAGCGTATCCCTCTCTAGATCTGCTGTTCTCCCTTCCTCGAGTCATAATATGACGAACGGCTTCTGCTCTTCATGGAAGTCTCGGGAATCTGGGCAGCTGTGCACTCGTTGTACTATATAGTGGCACTAGGGGAGGCCTTAGGGAACCCTTTGGCAGAGTGATACGGCCACACTCCGACGCAGAAACCATTCTTGTCACTTTTTCCGCTGAACCACTATGAGCTCTGTACACAACACTCGCTCGCGGAGGATCTATAAGTACGGTGGATTTTTGTTTAAGCTCCATGGATGTCCTGTGTTTCTCTTGGTGCTCCGCTGCTCGAGCTCTTTCGACCGAATGAAGTCATTCTCGTGAATTGTTAGCTCTGACTTACATTCTCACTGCCAGGCCTTAGCCGAGTCACTCAACGGGCGACACCTTCTACTGTTTCTATTATTTTCGTTATCCCCTGTTTGAAAGCGACCTGGAAATTCAAGCCCAACGCAGCTAGAGTCGACTTACCGCGGTTTCAACGACTGACGTGGTTCCTCCTCTTAGAATCACTGAATATTCGTGCACTCCGAGTCCACGGCCCCAAGACCTCCGAACCCGCAGGCGGGATATCGCGCGGCGATTATCGGAGAAGGTACGTTCTCTCTACAACCACAATATCTTGCGCCACATCTCACTCCGTGAATCAACCATACCATTCTGTAGCCTGCTCCCTTCTTTCCCATTCCTTGGTCTCCTCCCAATCACCCTTTGTGCGCTACTTTTAGGCTAATCTGACGATGCATTCTGCATACAGGTCGTTTTCTCGGCAGCACAACGACACCTCCTTCGGACCCATTCGCAGTCTGTTTCCCTCAAGTCTCTCCGCTCTTCGGTGAGCTCGAGAGACGAGCAGCACGTCATCCCGAGAAACTTGCTATCTCCTCAAAGGTACGTACTTTTCCGTCTTCTGCTCCTTGGTTCCTGCATCGTTGCCTTCTCCAAGAAAATATTGTCCAACGCAGATTTCTGCGACTTCACTACTCTGTTGTTCGAGCAACATTGACGTCAGACGAAGAATGTCATACATCGTGCTAGACACCGAGGAAAAGATGTCATGAGGTATCATTTCACAGTGGTCATACTATCTACGACAAAGCTGAAGCACTGGAAATCCAATACCTTGCTCATTACTACCAGACTGTCTTCTAGGAGGAACGTAGACTGTTCCGCGCTAAATACATTACATCATATACCGACGTGTATGAATGTGCTCCAGCGCCAAGCAGGGACACGTCCATCTCCCTTTGAGTCCCTCATCTGCTTAACAACCCCGTGAAGTGCACGAGAGGCCTTTCTTATATCAATGTTTTCGGTCCCTCCGGAGAGCATGGCTTTGTAAAACCCTTCTGCAAGCTGTGGTCCATCTGCATCGCTCATAGCCCAGAGTGACCCTACCACCGACTTGAAACCAGAGAACTGCATAGCGGTAGCTAAACTGATAGTTCCGTCTGGTGAGCCGGGCCCCACTGCAGCGCCGTGACATACCGCCAACATTGCCATCTCCGCATTCGGCAGTTTTTCCTTCAATATGTCCTGGATCTCCAACCTTTGCGTTGAGAGGTAGAAATATGTCTCGAAGGGATTCTTGACATTGAGAAAACCGTGGCATGAAAAATGTACCCATGAATGCTGAGGCATGCTGCGGATGACGGACTGTGGTGTGGCATCTTTACCATCCAGTACTTCGATGTTGATATCATGTGGAAAGATGGCTCTGATTCTCTTGAGCTCATCATGGACCTGGTGAGACCTTTAGTCGAATTATATCTCGGCGGGTATAGACGGGCTTACACTGTTGAGATCCTGTGACTGTCCGATACATAATAGCGAAAGCCGCTGTGACCTCTGTGTGTAGGTATTCCTGGAAGATATTAAGGTCCCAAGGGAATCCGTATATGATGATACAAAAATATCGAGGAGGTTGGACTGGGAAGCTTTGTATGGGCCTGCGGCATGGAGAGGTATTCCAACAAGTTCACCCGATGGGCACCACCAAATTCGGGAGTGGTCCTTTGTCCCATGCTTGTGCAAATCATCCACTATAGGCTTGCAGATTCTCTCCCACAGTAACTGCAAACTTTCAACTGTCGCGTCTCGACCTTTTTGGGACTTGAGCGAAAGTGGTATGCAATCACGTTCTTGCTGCCTCCCTTGATCTCTTGCCTTTTCCAGGTCAGAGGTGATTTTCGAGACGAAGTCTGAACCTGCCTGACTGAGAGGTACTTGGCGAGGTACTGTGTCATTCTTGTCGATTATGATAGCATGGGCGAGGCCTTTATCGATGTTGGTCATGATGACTGGACCTTCCTTCGCGGCGTCATGTAGAACCTCAAACGACTTCCATGTCGTGAAGGTTGAGAGGTCCGGAATAGATTTGATCCTCTCCAGTATGGTCTCGCGCTCAAGAAGGAGATCGTTCTGCACCATCGTTCGGTCCTTGTAGATGCCAACGGTTGGATCTGGTGGCGCAACGTGCGCGTGAAGTGTGAGCGCATTGCCGTCTAATGAGGTAACAGCAAGACTCTCGATTCTTGAGTTGACATCCCGAAACTCCTGAGCCAAACCGGGGTCCTTTTCTTGTAGATGACTCAGGGGCGTGCCACTCCACTCCAAGCTAGTCCAAGGATATCTACGCCCCCTCTCCATAATCTCCACGGCGCAAGGAAGATTTCCGGTTTCGATTGCGTGAGATGCAGCGCGTGACGGAAGAGACTTGATGTCATTTCGCATGAGGAGAATTTGCGTCTGTATTGCTGCCGCCGAGTACATCTGAAGGTAGCCGTCCAGCAAGTCCAGAGCTGTTTCGTATGCATGCGAGGCACTGATATAGCTATGGCTTCCGGCGCTGCCTGGAGCATGACCCGCAAGAACATCCTCATCATGCCCTCTGTCGGCATCTACAAGATTCCGAGCATGGTCCGCCCAGAGTAGGGCACTCTCGAGCCGTTCCCCGATGCATGCTCTTGAAAGATTTGATGCCTTCTGTAGGGTTTTGCATGCTTTCTTCAAGTCTACTTTGTCGCTGCGGACATAGATGCGAGCGTTTAATTGTAGGATGGGCGCCAGTTGAGGATGCGTCTCAGAGAGTGCTCGTGCTTGTTGGATGTACGCCAACGCAGAGTCACAGTAATGATTCTCCTGGGTTTCCTCGTACTGATAGTAGAGCCTGTGGGCAAGCTCCCCTAGGAATATGAGCCGTCGTGGGTCCGCAGCTGGTACTTGCTCAAGTGCTTGACGAGACAATGTCAGCGAGCGATTCAGGTGGTACACGGTCCTCAGCGTTCCTCTTGACCGGTGGACGGCATAATATGCAGCTGAAAGGCCGGACAACATCTCGGGATGTGATTGGGACAGTGGATCTAGCATTGCCACTGCGCCTTGATGCATTGAAACGGCATCGTCAATGTCGCATATATTGCCGGAAAATTCGTATTGTGCAAGGGTGGCGCTAGCCAAAGCACTGAGGCAGTAGGGAAAATGAGGGTGGTGTTTGTCGTATGATTTATGCGCTGCGCTTAGTGCTGCGATAGCATTGTCGAGATCAGACTTATAGCCCATCACTCTGAAGCGAGCCGCAAGCGCACGACCTGAGTTCATCAAAATTGATGGTCTGTGGATGTCACTTTGTTGGTCTGTCTTCAAGCCTGTCGCCTCGTTAAATCCCTGGATGGCCACGTCCAGGGCCTTGGTGTCTCCGCATTGCTGGAATTTAATCAAATGAGCAAAGGCATTGGCGGCAAGGTCCAAGGTGCGACCTGTGTCATGACCGCCACCTGTACCCTACGTATATGCCCTGTTTTTAATTCATTTCCATTTTTTGTCCTCCGCACGCCACCCACGAATGACACCACTGTCTCTAAGAGTCGCCCACATTTTACCCGATATTTCTATCGTTTTATTTCGCCCTCCGAACCTCGTCGAACCCCCACAAGCCACATAAGGGAACCGGTTCGGCAAGTCCCGCACTCACGCGTCGAGCCTCGTTCTTAAGTCTCGCCCCTCGTAAAATGTCCCTCGCGACGTTTCCCCTATCAATACACGTGGAAGTGAGTACCAGCATGGAACCCAATATGCCAAGAAGGTCTCCACAATTTATTTGGAGTAGTTACGATTTTATTCGAGCCATGCACGACAAACGATCGCAGCTACGGAAGCTCGCACCGAGCTGCCGGTTCCTGTGGAACGATTCAGACTCCGACGCGCTAGGTTTTCCACACACCTTCTGACGAAACTACAAGGCGCAATACTGGGTGTTTTCACTCCGAAAAAAAATCTAGAAGACTCTGTCAAGCTTGATCTTTCCAACGATCCAAAATTCTCGGCGATTGACCCACGGCGGAATATACTACGACGTGATCTTTGTCTCAACCTCACTCAGGGCCATCCGATAACGTTCCCCCTCGTGTATCTCGACCAGTTTCCACTCAATCGCCGACGTTTTGATATCGAGGAACTCCTACTGGTTTATACGATTATTCTACGGTATCTATGCATTTTATCGGTGCCTGACTGTTCACGGATAATTGTTTATGTTCGAAGGGACTGTACCCATTGTTCTCTAGATAGGTTTTCCCTTTCCTTTCGCTTTGTTATTCGTTCTATCTTCTCGTCCAACCTTGGACTCCTTAGCTTACATGCTGCATACGCGTTGTTTGGATTTCTTAGTGTTCTTTCTAGTGCACAAACTTAGTGCACTATCATTTGTCTTCCCCTTTGGTTCACCCTTGAATATTCGACTTGTTTTTCCTTCTACTTACTGTTGAGGCGACCTCGGACTCGCATAAATACCTCGTAGCACTCCCCTGTATTTCTCCAGTTTTTTAGATCGTCTATTCCTGGGCTTTCTAATATACTCAACCTTTCTCTCACCTCTTTCCACCTCCATCCGATTATTTCGTCTTGAGCCGTGGGGTATTCTCCCTCCCGTATCGCCCGGTCGTGACAACCTGGTAAATTTGGGCTCTGGGCAGTCACGAGCAGGGCCTGGGAGTACCTCGCAATTGCGTTATCGATTTGTACTGCTTGGCCCGTAGCGCAAAATTTCCACAGCTCCAAATGGCCCCAGGTGCGCATCGGGAGACTTTTCCAGTGTGCTGGAATATCTGCGATGGAAATGGCTTGCAAGCAGTAGCTTATGGCCTCCTGTAGGTATCCAAGATTGGAGGAAAGTTGCGTGAGCCGAGCCAACTCCGCCGCTAGCTTATTGAGAAGCTTAAAATGCTCCATCCGAGTCAGGCCCTTCCGGGGGTCAAGCAAATCACTTCTGAGAAGTCTGACATTCAGATCTGCAGAGTTGCCGTCATCGACCGTCCCGACGAATGTGATTCTGTGCAACACACCACTCGCACTGAGTGGGTCACTGGGTCGTCCTCCGAGGACATGATCTCTAAGCGTATTATTCATACTGGTCGTGCTGATACATGGCAATGGTGCTGGAGAGTTCTCTGGATTTTAGGTCAATGAAGCATGAAAGGAAAGAATATGGTGACGAACGGTGAATGTGGACTAGGATTCGGCGCTGTACCAATTTGAGCTTGAGGGATGGAAAGTGAACTGATTGAGGGAAAGGGGACCCAATTTATGTTCCGATTATATATGGTTTCCGCTAGTGTTTCCTCAATATGGAGTACTTGAAACATTATCACTTCAGCAGTATACAGTGATTGTCTGTTACCTTCTCAGTCTTTTGTCAATCACAATAGAGCACAAGATACCATCATTATCGTACGATTACGCGCTTGTCTCAGGGTATTGTTTGTTATGCCTGGATATCCGTTGATTCGTCAAAATAGCTTTGGTCAATACCAAAGAGACCCTTCTGTGAGAGGACCAATCAATTGTTTACACATACGTAACCACATCAGCAAGGCCGCATCTGGCTAAACCTAGCTATTTCGGTCTATTCGGTCTCCCAGGAGACACGAATAGATCATTTGACAGGATCTATTCATCATGGACCTGCCTTTAGCTAGACATGTTCGGATTCTGGTAGACGCAGGATAGAGGGCGGTAGAGCACGATAGACCGCGAGGTTTTTGTCGTGGATCATGCCATGGAGCTCGATGGGTTTCACTCGGACTGCTCAGTTTGGGTGGCAAAATGTATTTTATTGCAGAATATACATAATAACTACACGAGCAGACTGGCTGTACAATAATGTATAGACTAGCGAACTAGCACAAACCTCTCGAAGGTACTACATGTGTAGCGAGGAACCTTTGTCTCTGAATCTATGAATGTCGACCTATGAAATGATCTGAATGGAACAGTGCACAGAAATCAGCCACGTACATAAACATTCCGGGAATCAGAGACGAGACTCACAAAAAGCAGGTGACAAGTGCCGAGCAGGCAACCTGTCTATCTGAAACGCAAACAAGGATGTCAGTGTGGGAAGTGGAAATGATGCGACTGATGCGGGGAAGCCTCTCACCCTGCGCGACTTAACGCCGTAACGGCCCCTCAATGACCGCTGGAAGTTGGCGAGGTCACAGAGCGGGTAAG